AGCACACAGCACAGTGTATTGTAGATCTCTATTTCCCCGTTAAGCAGTGCGTCCCCAAAGGGAAGGACCCATACTTCATCTCTCTGTGGGAGCCAGCCCCCCGCAGCGTGTCAGCGTGTCAGCGTGTCAGCGTGTGGGCACGAGCAGGCTCCGTCTCCCGACCAGTGAGTAACGGGTGCTGGGTGAACAGCACACCATGACGGGCACCCTCATGTGGGTAGGTCATGGGCCATTTGTAAAAAGGCGCAACATGTTAGAGTGGAGAGGGAGACTGTATTATAATTTCCCTAAATATTTGCCACATTCTCTGGGCGACAACTAAACGTCCCCTCTACACCGATGTCAAGCTTGGCACAGCGACTTGCAGTGCCTTCCCTGTGGGAGACTCCAAGATTCTCTCTCTCAGCGTTGCTTTCACCAACGAAATGTGAACAGAAGTAACGTCTGACACGCCCAAGCAGACGCTCTAAGAGCCAGCCGGGAGTTTGCCATCTCGGTCTGTTCCCTCTCCCACGAGACTGGCAATGTCCCAAACAGAGGCTGCTCTGCAGGCTGGGTCTGAGTGAAGACAGCGGTCCGAGCTGCAGCCAGCCCACCACTGACGTGTAATGGGAGAGAGCAGCAGACTTGTCTGCTGTCCCGGAGATTTCGTATGCTTGCTGGCGGATGTAACGGAGCCTGAGAGAACGGGTGCCAGGCGGAGGGCGAGCCGCGTGACCATCACCGCCCCTCTCAGTGCCTGTTCTGGCTCTAGCTTCATGGGGGACCTTAACCAGTCAGGTCCCTTCTCTTCTCGGGGCCTGTTTCCCCTTAAAATAATAAAGCTGAGCTGGATCATCTCTCCACTCTGTAAGTCTGTAAATCTGGACCAGGATATCACTCTTGACCCTGTCATTTCACCCTTTTTTTCTTTTACCAATTACATAGAATGATGGACATTTTGGGAGGATACCTTTTTTTCCCCCGGTTAAATTGATATACAATGAAACACACAGAACTGGAGTGTACTATTTGGTGAGCTTTGACAAATGCCTACAGCTGTGTCCTCCATATCCCTAAGAAGATATTGAGAGGACATTTCAACACCCCAGAAAATCCCTTGTACCTTTCCCCAGCCAATCCCCTCCCTCCAGAGGCAACCACTACTGTGATATTTTTGCACCATTGATCAGTTGTACGGCACAGCTGTCATTTTGAATTCCTGAACCGCTGAAAGGTGTAGTTGCTCAGGCTGTCTGTTCTCCCACTCCTGAGCTCCAGGCCTGTGAAGGCACAGAAGGAAGTTCTTGGCAAGCGTTGGGGACACTCACCCACGGTTCTGCCAGCCCTCTAATTTTCTGAGCCTCCAAGTCACTGACAAAGTCATGGTAGAGAACAACATCGGGCTCCAGGTGGATGACCTCCTTCCGGACGGGCTGGAGCAGCAGGTAGGGACTGGAATTGGTCTCGTAGGAGCAGTGGAGGCTCGGGATCTGGTAGTGAGTAGGCTGGAAGGAAAGGCTGGAGTCAGCATACGAGGAAAGGGTAGGAGCTGGCACGAATTTAGGGGAACTACACATGAAAACAGTGGACTGTGGGAGATCCAGAATGCGGTCACTGATGCTGTCCAAGTGAGTGTGTTTTTTTTTCTTAAACTAGCCTTTTTCCTCACATTGCCCCAATTCTACTCTCTCTATAGCCAAGCGGTTCCCCTTTTCTCTTTCTCTGAAAAATCCTACCTGGGAGCCCAGGGTCTGACACAACCCCTCGTAGGTGGCTCTGGTCTGCAGGTGGGGCACATTGGGCCTCTGGATGACAGCCTCCGCGACGGCCTGGTTGGCGCTCTCTGCCAAGAGCTTTTCATATTTCAAGACATTCCTGGCCATCCTCTTATTATCCGGGCCTGGGAGAAAGCAGAGCAGGGATAATGCAGATTGACAAGCAGTGGGCCCGGGAGTGCGGCCACGGTGTCCCACAGCTTCACTGTCACCTTGGTAACTCCTGTGTCCCCGGGGCCCGCACTCCCAGAAGAGTACCGGGTATTTTAAGAAGACTGAATTGGGCCTGATAGATCTGAAGGTGTAAAGGACTTTGGAAAGGAAAGTGGCACTTAACACTCCTAGACCAAGGGATCATCAGGACGGCAGCTCTGGGACAGTGCATGGTCAACTTTTTTTGCATAGGGAATAATCTTCATCCTTTCATTCGTTCATTTAGTCATCTATTCAGTAAACCTTCAGCGAACATCTGCTATACACAGATACTGTGCTAGAGCTAACTTCCTAGCGTTTACAGTCTAATGGGGAAGAGACATTAAGTAGTTACAATGAAACATGACAAGTGAGTGCTACGAAAGAGAAGTTGAGAGCCAAACCCTATAGCAGAGGCCTGGCCTATTCCTCCTGGAGAACTGGAAGCTGATTAATTCCTGACGCTTCCAGCTCCTTCAGAATTCCTAAACGGCCTAGACACAGAGCAAAGCAGTATGGGACATGGGGATTCTAGCTTTAGTTCTAGCCCGAGTTCCTGTGGGGTCTTGGGTCTTATTTGTGCCCACTTTGGCTGCAAGATGCCCTGCGAGTTGGCAACTACCCCTGGCCTTCTAGCCTCTGTCTATGATTCTCAGAAGAAGGTGCTAAATTGCCGAACTGGTTTGGCTCAGTGGATAGAGCGTCAGCCTGCGGACTCAAGGGTCCCGGGTTTGATTCCGGTCAAGGGCATGTACCTTGGTTGCAGGCACATCCCCAGTGGGGAGTGTGCAGGAGGCAGCTGATCGATCTCTCATTGATGTTTCTGACTCTCTATCCCTCTCCCTTCTTCTCTGTAAAAAATTCAATAAAATATATTAAAAAAAAAAAAAAAAAAGAAGGTGCTAAATTGCTCTAATGCTTCCAAAGCATCTTTCTCTGTGGAGCTCGGTGTGCTTCTAACCGCGACCTCCGCCCTGACAAAGGAGGGAAGGAGGGGACAGAAATTACCACCTTTTTTTTTTTTTCATAAGAGGAGAAATAGAATTCTGAAGAATGGAAATGATGAACCCAAAACACCAATGAAAATACTGCAAAGCCAGAAATGGAACTGGGAATCTCAATTTGCTGTGTCCTGCTCATCCACCTATAATAGTGCACCATATGGGCTCTCTGGGACAGGCAGAGATTTTACCACATCAAGCACAAAAATAAAGGAACAGTGGGTTCTCATTCTGCCTGCACCACTAATTGCCCATGTGTTTCCAGACCATACGGCTACTTCCTTATCCTACCGGTTTGCCAAATTATCAGAATGGAATAACATTACTAAGTGGATTTATTCAAAAGTGATAGATAGCCGAAACCGGTTTGGCTCAGTGGATAGAGCGTCAGCCTGAGGATCAAGGGTCCCAGGTTCGATTCCGGTCAAGGGCATGTACCTTGGTTGCGGGCACATCCCCAGTAGGAGATGTGCAGGAGGCGGCTGATTGATGTTTCTCTCTCATCGATGTTTCTAACTATCTCTCCCTTCCTCTCTGTAAAAAATCAATAAAATATATTTTAAAAAAGTGATAGATAAAAAACCACTGTAAAGTCCTACATGAAATATTTTATAACTATTAAAACATTATATTGATTATGTATCTTTTTTTAGAATCTAAATATCTTATTAAAGGAAAATCTGGGAAGCCATCTGCTACCAAAATTGTACACAAAAATATCCAAGCAGAGAGCTAGGCTAGAAAGTCTCTCTCTTGTTCCACTCTGGTGAGGGGCCAAGCTCCGTTCTGTGCTAACTGGGCGGGATGCTTGCATAGCAAAGTGAGCCCTGGTTTAAAGGAAGAACTGATATCTCTTTGTAGATGTGAATAATCCTGCTGAGTCACTCTCCTTGCACACACAGCTCCCCTTGAGTTCACTAGTTCCCAGGTCTACTTCCCAAACCTGGGTCTTTCGATGTCCCTGAAGAAGCTGGCTCCCAATCCAGGACCTATTCCCCACTGAATAAATATTAATATATAACTGTTTGGGGGGGGGTGGAGGAGGAAAGGACAGATTAGTATCTTCTTCTTAGCATTTTCCAACTCAAACTCCCCCCACACTCACACTCCCAATGCATCAATCGGTATGTAAGACTTAATCCAAAATTAGAAATGTAACTTAGATTATGAAATTAGAAAAATAAAAATAGATAGCTGTATTCCACTTGCAGAAATTAAAGGCCAAGAGCAGAAGGGATTTCCAGCAACTCAGACCTGTGGCTTCTCATTTATCATTACGTACTGTAGAGAAGGAACTCCCGGGAGAGGCTGAGGGCAAATGAAACATTTCCCGCCTATAAAAAAAAAAGAAAGAAAAGGGAAAGAGTTTACTGCACTCAGGATATCTCCTCTGACCAAATCAATCAATGGATTTTCAAAAGTATTATAAGATATTCTTACCATAAGTAGATAATAAGACTCATTGAAATGGGCAGCAGACTAGAAATGGGGAGGTTCTCTGTCCTAATTCAGGATTTGCAGCCCTGATGTAAATCAGGTCTCCTCAGTTTCCTCACTTACCAGTGACTTATTACCACCCTTACCGGGGAAGGTAGAAAAATAAGTAAAAATAAACTTTCTTAAAATGTTCTCGAACCCTAAAGCATGCAAGACCATGTAACTGCAGGGTGTTATTATTTGGATAAATTTCAGTATTAAACTTAATATGAAACTATAAAAGTTTAGTTTCATATTAAGTATGAAAAATATACTTAATAAAGTAGATTTAAAAAGTAATATACTTAGTGATATACTTAATAAAGTATATTCGCTTAGTAAAAATATTTTTTTTTCTCCAGGCTCAATACTTTCTGGAGTCGACAAAGTTAGTGGAAGTGTGCTAGGCAGTTAGACAGGCACGAGCAGAGCAAGGACGATAGGCCAGGTACAGAAGGTCACCAGGGTGGACGGCCCTGGGTGCCTGGCAATGGGCAAAACTGGGAAATCCATTCAGACCTGACCTTTCATATTGTTGGTCATAGGGATTAGCCCCCCTGACCTTTCATATCGCTGGTCGTGTGGCTTGAGCCCTACCCTGACCTTTCCTCCCCTGGCATGTCACTAGTCATGTGGTATAACCCCCTGGAGGAGGAACAAGGGGCCAAAGAGTGGCCTCATGCGACTCCCATGTTGGCCCTTGCACAACCACTCCCTTAAGCCTCAACCCCTATGGATAACATATAGGCCTCAGTTGTGTTTCAGTCCCAGGCCCAGGAAAGCAGCAAAACCAGGTAAACAATGCCATGGCTGACCTCAGGACCAGCTACATTGACTAATGAGCCCTGACCTGGTGCCCACCAATCAGTGGAGACCATGACCCTGAAAGGACACACCTGGAAAGCTGATGAATATTCTATTGAGATCCTCCCCTGGGACCTTCAGATAAATAACCCTCAAGACCAGCACCCAGGGAGGCTCTCTCTTGAGCAACCCTGCACCTTTCTCACCCCCTTCCCTCCAGTGCATTTTCCTTGTCTCTGTCTTTCTCCTAAATTCCAAGGGCCCTTCTTTTGCCTCTAACTTGTTCCTAAGCCCATGCCCAGCTGGCTCACTTTTCTTCCCTCTGTGACTTTCTAAATAAACGTTAGCTTGTAGCATTTGAATCGTGGCTCTGAATTCTTTCTTAGCCAGAACTCAAGTGCTGAGGTTGCTGAACCCAGGTTCTATCTGACCCCACTGGTCTCACACCTGGTGCTGTTTTGCTGCCAACAGGAGGGAGGCAAAGGAATACCTCACCCTGAACCATTCATACCACATAGTAATGAACTCTTCCTGTAGCCATTCAACCTTGGGCAAAAGTAAACAGGACTTAGACAAACTTGAGGAACAGACCAGGTTAGGTGGGCTGTCTCCTTGCTCTGGGATGATGGTGAACTGATAGAACTCTATTTCCTTCTGGTCATTTTATTTTTGCATATCAAAATTTTTATTTTTAACCCTAGCTGGTTTGGGTCAGTGGATAGAGTGTCAGCCTATGGACTGAAGGGTCCCAGGTTCGATTCCAGTCAAGGGCACATGCCCGGGTTGCAGGCTCCATCTCCAATAGGGAATGTGCAGGAGGCAGCCAATCAATGATTCTCTCTCATCATTAATGTTTCTATCTCTTTCTCCCTCTCCCTTCCTCTCTGAAATCAATAAAAAATATGTATTTTTTTAATTTTTATTTTTAGTGATAAAAGCAATAATAAGCACATTATAAAACATACGAGACAGTGTCCATGGGTTATGCATATATGCATACACGTTCAATGGGCTAATGAAGGGGCCAATCGGGGAAAACAGGAACATATGTAATACTTTCAACAATAAAGGTCTTTAAAAAATAAAAAAACAAATAAAACATATGAGAAATAGAAAAACAATGCTCCACTGGAACCCAGCACTCCAAACACTCTGGATAACATATAGTCTTTACATAGTTATAAAATACATATTCATATCCTGATTGTTCCACTCAACATGGTTATCAAGAATGGTTTTTATATATCATTACAAAATTAGTCTTCAGAGACAGCATTTTAAAATTATTCTTTTTAAATGTGGTAAAAAAAAACCCCACATAAAATAAATTTACCATCTTAACCACTTCTAAGCATACAGTATTAAATATATTCACACTGTTGTGCAACCAATTGCCAGAATGTTTTCATCTTGCAAAACTGAAAGTCTGTACGCATTAAACAACACCCAATTTCCTCTTCCCCTCACCCCTAGTAACCACATTCTGCTTTGTCTCTATGAAGCTGACCCATACCTCAAATAAGTGGAATCCTACAGTATTTGTCTTTTAGTGACTGGCTTGTTTTATTTAGCATAATGTCCTTAAGGTTCACCTATGTTGTGACATGTGTCAGAGTTCCTTTTTTTTTAAGGCCAAATAATATTCCATTATATGTATATACTGCATTTTGCTTATCCATTCATCCTTTGATGGACACATGGGCTGCGGCCACCTCTTAGCTATTGTGAATAGTGCTGCCATGAACATGGGTGTGCAAGAGATTGGGCATTTTTAATGGGTGCATTTTATTTCATCAAGAAGCTACATCACAGATGACCTAGCCATTCCACTATTGTGGGACATACAGATCGTTTCTAAATATTTAATGTAATTAATTATTCTTTTTTATACTTAACAGAGGAATAGTTAAATAATCTACTGACATCTGCCGAAACCGGTTTGGCTCCGTGGATAGAGCGTCGGCCTGCGGACTGAAGGGTCCCAGGTTCGATTCCGGTCAAGGGCATGTACCTGGGTTGCGGGCACATCCCCAGTAGGAGATGTGCAGGAGGCAGCTGATCGATGTTTCTCTCTCATCGATGTTTCTAACTCTCTATCTCTCTCCCTTCCTCTCTGTAAAAAATCAATAAAATATATTTTTAAAAAAATAATAATCTACTGACATCTTATAATGTCAGATATTAACTAAGGGTTACAGTTTTTCAAACTCTTTTGAAATGAAGAGAACTAATGTAATTTTACGTATTTTTAAAATGAAGGTTTTTTTTCATGTAATAGTTATATTTTATCAAGAACAATGTTAGAATTACTTTTTATGTTTCAGTTAAATTTCTTTGGAAATGTGTATACTAAATAATGTTAAATGGAAAAAGAGAACATACACTTGTGGTATATAATATAATCATAATTGCTTCCATGTATTGAGTACATATGTGTCAGTGTTAGGGTGTTACACGTATGAGCTCATTTAATCCTCACAACTCTTTGAGGTGAGCAATGAATGGCAGTAGAATATGCTATCCCCAAATATGCCTTTTTGGCATAAGGATAATTCTAAGCTAAATATTTTGAGAAAGAGCAGACGCAGGAGACATTCTGAAAACCAGAGTAGTGTTACCCTTTTGTAAGGGACATAAAGGGCATCCCCATTTGTAAGTATCTCCCTCCGTGGGCTAGGAAGGGAAGGACGACTCTAAATCACAAGAGAATCTTATCCATTTAGATCAGGGAGGGCGGTGTGAGGGGGAGAGATCAACCAAAGGACTTGTATGCATGCATATAAGCATAAGCGATGGATGTGGACAACAGGGGTGAGGGTGAGGGCAGGACTGGGGGATGAGGGGACATTGGGGGGATAAGGACACATTTGTAATATCTTAATCAATAAAGGGAAAAAAAATCTGCACAACAACCTTACCTTTGTTTACCATGTTTTTCTGGGTGACCTCCCATAACCGGCCTCTCCTCATAGCTTTATTTCTTTGCCTTTAGCTGAAGCTGATATATATTTTTTTAATGAAATGAAAGGTCCATGAACAGACATTGATTTCTAATTTACTGGGGGTAAAAAAGGGGAACATACAGGGTCTATAAGACAATGCCTTATGTGTTCTATTACTGTTGCATAAAAAATTGTGCTGTCAGAGCACAAAGAAGGAGAGTCAGTGGAGTCTCAGGAGAACTAAGAAAGACTTCACAAAACAGGTGACATCTGAGCTATGCCTTGTAAGATGAATAAAATTTACCAGACAAAGCACGATTGTGGGAAAGGAGATTTTGTCAGTGAGTAGAAGAGAAATTTAAGTCATCACGGGGGAGAAGGGGAGACCCCAAATTTAACAATTAGACACTGGATTAAAAACCCCATCTTTCAGGGTAAGCTGCTTTAGTTTATCGTCTCTGAGTCTCTCAGTGTCAATTCTCCATTTTCTTCCTCTATTAAAATTCAATCACTTCCTGCGCTTTGCTGCATCACAGTGATTCGATTTCAGTTTTAATATGTAGCAATTGAGCAAGAAAGTTAGGAGAGGCACCCTGCTAAGTTTTATAACAAAGATCCACTTACCAGAAACTTCCATGAGAGGAACCAGACCATTTGCTGCACTGAGAACAGATATGTTTTGGGAGCAACACGTGGGGTTGGACCGCCCATATCCTCCTCCCTTTTCTCAGCAAAAGGGGGAAAGAAAAAGGAATGTAGGGCGTAGAACTGGTTTATTAGCTTTTGAAACTCTAAGGAATTGGCTCCGCAGTGACTTTCTCAGCCTATTCTTGAAGACTGCACAAAGCAGTTGGGAAATGGGGTTAGCTATGCCAAAAGATGACAGTTCCCCCATATTTAGGGAAATGAGCTTCCATCTGAGGGACAACAGGTCAAAGATCAACAGTGTCAAGGAAACACTGGAGGAGGCATTGAGCTGGTACTATGGACCAATAAGGCCCGCTCTATAGCTGGACACTAGTCATGTTACAGTTGGACTCGACTGCAGATGGAAGAGGACAGCAATCAAACTTCTTCCTTGGATATTCGCAATATCATGGCACAGTATCTGTGAAGAGTTATGAATTGCTGAGAGTGCAAAAGAGTGATCTTCACTGACCGTGAACCTACTAAACATGTGTCGATGCAGCTGTTGCTGCTACAGGTGAAAGACTGCCCTCCTACACGGGAGACGATTTCAAAGTAGTGAGTGCATTGCAAAGAGCACTGGATTCAGAGTCAGACAGACTTGGACAAGTGAACTTTGTGACAAGTTAGGAATGCTTTGGAGATTTCGTTTACTCACATATGAAATACAGAAATGATAAAATTACCGCCCTGTTCGACTCACATTTGGTCCTGTTAGGAAGATGAAGTAAATTAAGAGACATGAAAATGCTTACAGAATTGTAAAGTGCATATAAAGCATTACATTTATTGTGATGAAAGCAGTGAGTCTCACTCCCCTACCTGGAAATAGGCAAAGGCCAAGTGATCCAAGGCATCCTCGAGACTTGCCTCATCCTCTGTCTTCCACTCTCCGTAAGATCCTCGGAAGAGACTGACGGCCTCCTCCAGCCAGGGGATGGCATGGTAGTAATCCCCCATGTCATAGGCCACCTGTAGGAAACACAGGCACCATCATTAAAGCCTTAGTCCACCGGCTGAGGAAAGGACATGACATGCAAAGAGTGGGGGGCCTTTGGAATCCAACAAAGCCAGTTTTCATCTCAAATTCATTTAAATTCAATTTATTAAGCACCTATTACATACAAGGCATTGCACTGGGTACAGAGAAGACACAAGGATACTTGCATTTAAGGAATTTATAACCTGAAGAGAAGACAGATATGAACTCAGGTTAACTATAATACTGGACAGATTGACATGAATGCTGGAAGGAAATATATATATATATATTCTATGCTGGGCAGACATAAAAAAAGGAGGAGGCTTGAGAATCTCAAAAGGTTTCATGGAAGAAGTGGCATCTGAGATGGGACATCCTTGAAGAAGCCAAAGGATTTCAATACACCAAGACTGGGAAGAAGGGCATTTTAAGATGAGGGAATGCTAGAAACAGAAGCCAAAGCAAGAATGTGTTCAAATAACACATTGTGACTGTGGTGTAAGGTGAAGAGAAGCAGGAAATGAACTTAAAAGGGCAGCATGGGCTAAGCTAGTGAGAGTTATGAGTGTCTTGTTTTTAGGAAGATTGCTGGCAGCAGTGTGAGGAATGGACTAATTCATTCATTTATTCAATATTTACTGAGTGTTTGTAATGTACCCGGTAGTCCCTGCCCTTAAAGGTCATAAAATCAAGGGGCTGGTGATAAACCAATAATTGTGACACAATGCATTAGACACTATAATGAAGGTAGACCTGGGAATGGTATGAGAGCTCAGTGCATTGTTCTATACTAAATGTTGGAATATGGCAACATGTACTAGACATAGCACCTGTCTTTTAATAGCTCACCATTAACTAGAATACCAGAACTGCTAGTGGAATTTCCTGGAAATTGATGTAGGAGACAGCATGGAATTATAAAGTCGCAGAGCTGGAAGGATTCTTACAAAATGATCAAATTCAGGTATAACTTCCAGATAGGCAGAAAGGCAGCAGAATGTAGAGATACCGTGACTCTGCAGCCTAACTATAAGTCAATTCCTATCCCAGGCCTGCACTTTACCTGCGGTGTTATCTCTCTGGTCCCCAAGTTCCCTATTTGTGACAAGATTGAGTTGAAGAATTATAATAAAAAAATGACTGAACCTTTTCTGCTAAGTTAACAATTTATTTAAGATTTCCATGAGAGGAAGATGGCGGCATAGGTAAACACCGTTGACTGCCGCCGTGGACAACCATTTCAAAAATACAACTAAAAGACGGAGCGGACATCAACCAGAACCACGGGAAGGCGGGCGGAGGACAGTCTCTTCAACTAGAAGCAAAAACAACAGCATTCCGACGCTCAGCGGAGGCGCAGTGTGGAAAATTTAAAGGTACGGCCGGCGCGGTGGTGACGGTGCGCGCGCAAACGGGCTGGCGGCGGAGGGCGCGGTTGTCGTTTTCAATCCGGAGCGAGTCTCAGACTCTGGGCTACAGATCCGGGCGAGTCTCTAGGGACCCAGACTCAAACGGGAGAAGCGGGACTGTCTGGCGGCGGCCCCTCCGAGGTTTGCAGCGGTTGCCGGGACGGAGAGGCAGAGCCCCTGGGGATGGACTGAGAGCGGCCATAGCGGCTCCCTCCCCCTGCCCTGCTGAGCCCGCCCCGCCCAGGCCCTGCGCACAGCCATTTGCCGACCGCCTCAGGCAAAGGCTGGATTAGCACTGCCCCAGAAGACAGACGTTTCCCGCAGCTGATTCCTTCAGCCAGTCGGCCTGGTGGTCAAATCCCTCTAGTGTTAACTACAACAATTAAGGCTTGGCTAGAACAAGACTGCGTACAGAGACCACTAGTGGGTGCATCAAGAAACCATAAAAGATGCGGAGACAAAAAAACATGGCAGAAATGGATGATATGGAGCTAAGAATCGCAATTTTGAGGGTTTGCCATAAAATGGTGCAGAGCCTCACGAAAACTAATGAGACCCTCGATGCTACGATAAAGAAATTAGAAAGTAAGCATACACGGACTGAAATAAAGAATATTATACCCAATAGCAGACCAGAGGAGCACAAGAATCAAACCAAAGATTCAACAAAAAACACCCAACTGGAAAAGCAAAATGAAAAAAGAATCCGAAAGTGTGAAGATAGTGTAAGGAGCCTCTGGGACAGCTTTAAGAGGTCTAATATCAGAATTATTGGAGTGCCAGAAGATGAGAGACAGCAAGATATTGAAAACCTATTTCAAGAAATAATGGCAGAAAACTTCCCCCATCTGGAGAAAGAAATGGACTTACAGGTCCAAGAAGCACAGAGAACCCCAAACAAAAGGGATCCAAAGAGGACCACACCAAGACACATCATCATTAAAATGCCAAGAGCAAAAGACAAAGAGAAAATCTTAAAAGCAGCAAGAGAAAAAGGCTCAATTACCTACAAGGGAATACCCATACGACTGTCAGCTGATTTCTCAACAGAAACTTTGCAGGCCAGAAGGGAATGGCAAGAAATATTCCAAGTGCTGAATACCAAGAACCTACAACCAAGATTACTTTATCCAGCAAAGCTATCATTCAGAATTGAAGGTCAGATAAAGAGCTTCACAGATAAGGAAAAGCTAAAGGAGTTCATCACCGCCAAACCAGTATTATATGAAATGCTGAAAGGTATCCTTTAAGAAGAGGAAGAAGAAGAAAAAGGTAAAGATACAAATTATGAACAACAAATATGCATCTATCAACAAATGAATCTAAGAATCAAGTGAATAAATAACCTGATGTACAGAATGAACTGGTGATTACAATAGATCCAGGGACATAGAAAGGGAATAGACTGACTATTCTTGGGGGGGAAAGGGGTGTGGGAGATGCGGGAAGTGACTGGACAAAAATCATGCACCTATTGGATGAACACAGTGGGTGGGGAGTGAGGGTGGAGGGTGGGGTGGGAGCTGGAAGGAGGGGAGTTATGGGGGGAAAAAAGAGGAACAAATGTAATAATTTGAACAATAAAGACTTAATTAAAAAAAAAAAAAATAAAAAAAAATAAAAAAAT